AGGTTATTAACCTTTATGCTTTCCATCCTCCTCCTTTTGCCTCTGAGGAGGATAGGAAACTTAACTTGCTCTGCCCGGTTCGAGCTTTAAAGTTCTATGTGGACCGCTCGGGCGGTTGGAGGAAATCGAACCAGCTCTTGGTATGTTTTGGTGCTGGCCGCCGCGGGCTTGCCGCATCAAAGCAGAGGATTTCCCACTGGGTTACGGAAGCTATTTCACTGGCTTATGAGGTGCGTGGCCAGCCTTTACCTCTTAGCATCAGAGCACATTCCACTAGAAGTGTGGCTTCCTCTCAAGCTCTTTTTAGAGGGGCCCTCTTGGAAAATATTTGTGTGGCGGCAGGCTGGTCCTCTCCGCACACTTTTGTTAGATTCTATAGTTTGGATCTTGACATGACTCCAGGTTCCCAAGTTTTATCTGCTTGAACCGGTCGTGTAAAAATTTCTGGTCTTGTACTAGCTATGGCAGCACTTTAGCTTGGCGAGTTTGGTATTTCGTTCCCACTGTGTCTTAAAGCTACACAGCGTTGAATGAACCTATGAAAGAGAATGTCTCTGGTTACTTACGTAACCTATGTTCTCTGAATAGGGAACGAGACGCTGCGTTCGCTGCCAAGCTCCTTGCGCTGCCGACAAGTTTTCTTTTTCGACAGAGAAATCTGAGGAGCAGATGGCGCGCGCGCGTATATTATGTTACGACGTAAGAGCGTCGGGGCGGCACCCGCGCCATCAGCCAATGTATTGGCGTGATTCTATAAGGGCTTCAACAATTGGCACACTCAGAGGACGTTCCCACTGCGTCTTAAAGCTATGCAACGTTTCATTCCCTATTCAGAGAACATAGGTTACGTAAGTAACCAGAGACGTTTTGATATGCAAATAACAGCCTTTCGCCTGTAACCTCTAACTAGGACAGTGTAAGGCACAATGTTAATAGAGGAACTGGATCCCTGAACCCTGCCTGTTTTCCAGACTGTCACTTTCAAATATCAGGCTTATAGACTCATGTTTCTTCAGTTATGTTCACTCATTTTTATGCCATTGTATATATATAAAAAAAAAAAGTCTACATCTTTAAATGACTTTCATATACAGGTTTTGTTGTTTTGTCCTTAGAGACTGAGACTAGAGACTTGTGAATGTGAAATGTGAAAAAAAACATCATAAAATATTATTTGTATTAGGATACATAAAACGAAGAATATCTGGCATTTTATTATAAAAACAATTTAAAATGTCTCCATCAACGTCATTTCCACCACAGAATGCTATTAAACACAATACTGTACATAATTAGAGATGTGGTGGAGAAAAAAATACAAACATTATGCAATTCTACTGTGATATACAGTATTTTTGACATTGTTATACTAGTGACTAGTGTTTGTTTTCTAAAAGTTCACTATAGTGTTTGTTTGTGTCCATATTTAAACAATACACAGGCACATTTACATGCACAAAATACCAACATGAATGCAATGAAATCTACTCCCTCAAACACAAACAAATAATGTTTTTTTCCATCATATTCTCCCTCATTATCATCATTATTTATATTTCCTCAACTAGTCCTTCAAACACTCTTTTTATGCTTCAATAGCATATGCCAAGAATCTCAGTCCAATTTTGGGGCAGAATTCCCCAGCCAATTGTAGAAAGCCATTTCTTGACTCCTGTCATAATAGCTGCTTCCACAAAAACACATCTGAATTACTCAGCAGCATGAAGCCAATGCAACAAATCCCACAGAAGAAAACACAAAGGATACAGTTCTAAAAGCCAGTTCTTCACCACAGAACTAGAGAAAAATCTCACATTTGTGACTCCTATATGCTTCACTACAGACGTGAGATCTTAAAAGGAACAGTTTATACAAACACGGCAATACTGTCATTGTTGTATGAAAATGAGCACAGTGAACATTCCACAAAATGTCTTCTATTTTGGTTTCACAGAAGAAAGAAATTCATACAGGTTGAGGTTAGGTTACACAATAACCTAATTTTCTCTTTTAGGTGAACTCCTTTAAATGCTTGATACACAGCCACATTTCAGAAGTAAACCTCATGTCTCCTCTCGATCTCTAAAATTACTAATGTCAAGCTACAGCCCTCAGCTCGCCTTCCCAAGTGACTTCCATCTTTCAGGCTGCCTGCTGAGCTGAGAACTGGGAAAACAAGCAGAGGCTTCAACTGCACTGAGACATGAGAGTGAACAGAGAGAGAGAGAAAAAAAGACAGCACATTTTGTATTCTTGAGACAACGCAAAAAATGTGCCTCTGATATTTCAAACAACAAAAACTTTTAAACAAAAAGACAATGCAATATTTCTTCCCCCTGAGAAATCAAAGCTTTACTGAAATACTTCTTCTAAATTAAGAGCTCTATTTAGATCCTCAAGGACAAGCACCGTTGTTGTCATCATGTTCAACCCACTGAGACGATGCAAACATTGAGTAAAGCTCTGTAAGCATCATCATATTCTCATAAAAATTCTGCACAGGTTATGATAGCTTTAAAGACGAAAGGAGAAAAAAAGACACTGGAAGAAAGAGAGTGGAGGAAAGAGCCTCCAGGGACTGAAGAACTGTGCTGTGGGGAAACTGAAATAAGGACAGAAGAGAAAAAAAGAGGTTTGAAGGTTTTTGTGACCATTGTTTTACCGTTTTTGTCAGTAAAGCTGAAATGTGTGATTTTTTAAATTGGAATTTAAAAAAATAATGACTGTCTTGAATCAGGTTTCTCAAACACTCTCTCTGTCATTGTTTTCAGTGGCGACTATCAGAGATAGACTGATGGTTATGTGTGGTTGTGGTGGCCAAACATGGGTGTGGCTATCAGAACTAGCAGTAGGGGTGATAGGGTGTTCGGCTGCGGCTGCATTTTATTGAACATACTGACATACAATTACTATGCACTTATACTGTGCACTATGTACTCTACCATCTAGTGTATGAATTTTATAAGATTATTTGGTTATACAGCATCAGAGTCTGGAAGCCCGTTCCCCTTTCACTACATAAGCAAAGCTGAATCAGTTAAGTGTCCAACATTCCGCCCTTTTTAGTTAAAGTGCATCGTTCGGGTATTTGAAGTGCACTTCTTGTTGGAATTTTAGTGCACTTCTTGTTGGAATTTTTAGTGTGAGCACACTACTGGCCTAGAATAGTGCATAAGTACGCAAATTGGGACACACCTTAGGTGTGATTATAAAAAGTGATATGGCTATTAAGATGTAACCTGACTCCGCCAGATGGATTTGCTCCGCATATCCATCTGGAAACCTTCCGTTGAAGTAGTTTTGGTAAGGGGCGAAAATACTGGTTAGCTGATTGGCCTATGTTGGTGATAGACGGGCCAAATCAACCAATCAGATCAACGAAGCATATGACGTACTAACAGAGCGTATCTTTTCCTCTGAGAAAAGCCTCCAGAGCAGTGTTTTGCTCTTCTTTCAGTGAAGAAATACTCTGTAATTCCGATAAAACTTGCTCGATAGCCACGCTGATGCTAGTTTCATCCGCTGAAGCCGACATGTTCTTTAGACTGAACTGACGCGCTTCTCGTTGCGTCACACCTCAACCCGCCTCAAAGCCAACGCTGATTGGACGTTCGTTTGGTGAACTGCTCCCAAATTTTCTTTAACGGAAAGTATCCAGACTGATCTGCGAGTGAAACCTTGAAAGCTCGCGAGATCAGGATGGTCTCACGAGGCTAATTAAGATGGGCTTGGTCATGAGTGGGTGTGGCTATATTAAGTTAGTGTGATCAATTATGGATGTGACTATGTGTGATTTACAGAGATGTTGAGGCAATCAAGAGGTGGGTGTGGGCAATCATGAAGCTATCAGAAGTAGGAGTAGCTGCGATTATCTTATTATTAAGGTGATTTGGCTATGTCAGGATTTTTCCTGCATTAAAAATATTTTTGCGGCTGCTAAAATGAATCTTTGTCAAGCCAAAGATTTATTTCATCATTTAATGTGATGATACCTGCCGCTTTGTACTGGTACCTGCTGATAGCCGGCTGCTTTAAAACTCTCCTGTGAGTGTTTGTGTAAGCGCCCTGTGAAGAGTTCCTATTTGCAAATTTGCATATCTGTTGAGCGTGTGAACGCAATGGCCAATCAGATGTTTAAGTTAGTCAGAATCCGCTCAAACACCGTTCAAAATGGAGTTGACAACTTTCATTATAACCAACATAGTATAAACACAATGTTAATAAGTGATTCATTGCACAGTGCAGACAGCTTCATTGGTTATAACGGGAGTTTCGCAAGAGTGCAGCTTTGTGTACCTCGCGTTGTGACAGCTTCAGTGATTACAATGTCAGTGATTTTTCATGCTGCTAACTACACATTGCAAAGGATTGACAACCATATTTAAAACCGCGACTGAATCCAATTGACAGTGATATCCATAGCAAAAGACGGAACAAAACAGTCTGATACTGTATGTCAAATGATCTGTGCATAAAGTCTTGGAGTGTAAATTCAATAAATAGACCAGCCACTTCTTCAATGTGTTACTTTGTGGTTAATTTTATTACTAACTTTTTAAATCAGTCACTGAGTGACTTTTTATATATAAATTTACAGATTTTTAAATATAGTTATATATTTAAAATAAAAATAGTTCTAAGCACTTTATCTTATGATCTATCCTGACAGTGAGTATTTTTTATTTAATGATTAAATAGGTTAATTTAAGTTAATATTACGTCTGTTTGCATTTATTTCAGATTTATTATCAGTACTGGGCTCGCAGTTCACACATGGGTAGGTTACTTTGTACTGTGTGTGTGGATGGCCGTGTTCGTCCGCCACCATCAAAGACCATTTTTGATCCAGTATTTGAGGTAGGTGTGGTCATGAGTGGGTGTGGTTATATTAAGCGGGTGTGACCAAACACGGGTGTGCCTATCAAAGGTAGACGTATGTGTGATTATTAAAAGTAGTGAGAATATCGGAGTTGGGTGTGGTCGTGAATGGGTGTGGTTACCTGAGGTGGGTGACTTGCTCCTCTCTAGGTCCAAAGACACCTGATTATCAGAAAGCTCCGTAAGGCCTGCCATGGAGGAACATGGAAGGCACGGTAAGAGGACGCAGATGATAAAACCACTAGTTTCCATTATCACCAAACACATCTGCATGCATCAAACCACCAGGACAAACAATGTGGTCTGTGACACTATCATGATCCTGGAGCGATTCGAGGAAGATGTATACATCTTCATAACATACAGTTTTTAAACTATAAACTAGGTGTACATACTTTTTAGCCATGACGTGGTTGTTTAACTCTTGTCTGATGTGAACATGAGCTGTTCAACCACATATATACAGGTTTATAAACCTCCAGAATCAAACATGTACACCAACACCACCAACAATTCCATGCATGTGTGTGTATGCTGGAGAGAGAAAGAAGAAATAAAATTGTATTGATGTTACTCAAGGCACGACGGTAAATTATAAGGCCTGCACTGCATCAATATCAATCAGTTCATCAGAGTGTGTGCAAACTAAAGTTCTTCTGGAAAGTAGATGCTTAACAGGTCTCAATGTCTTAAAAGAATGAATAATTAAATATGATGGTCATATAGAGGAATGCAGTGAAAGCCTCATTTTCACAAACGTGATAATTCCATCAGCAGAGTCTGTTTTTGTATACCAAATTTTTGGGCCATTCTGATCACCAGAAATACGTCAGATTAAAAAAAAGTATACTATATACATACTTTAAATTCAAAGGTCACTTCCAATGTTTTTAAAAGCTTCTCTATTTTAGCAATGTTGACTTAAATTAGTAGAATTAGTTGACTTTAGTATGAGTATGAAATTTGTTTTTAAAAATTCACGCAAAAATTTTGATTAAATGGTTCATTACACAAACCTTTGGCACAAATCAAGAAAACACTTAGCAAGGAGACAATCAAAGATTGAAGATTTCAATGTATGCAAATTCAGGATATGTTATGATATTCTGTAACAATTCATTGAATTGCAATAAATAATAATATATTGCACTGAATTAAATGCAGAACAGTAATTCTACCTTTGGTGGTAATCATAAAAACACCACATTTTTGATAAATGACATCCCATTGTCTGTGCTTTGTCTCCTTGCTGTTGTGATGCCCCCGCCGGCGCTTCACTGGAGACGTGACTTACTCTGGTAGGAAGTACGGATCCGTTTCTTTGAATCGGAATAAAAGTTAGACAGGCCGCGCATGCAAAAGTCTGCAACAGCGCCCCCATGCCCCAGCACCGCCACCCACGAGAGGAGAGATGGAGCGAGGGAGGAAAAGAGGAGGAGAGAAGAACAAAACAGGCTCAGAGTGACAAAACGCGTGTGACCACAATCTGAGCAAGACCCAGTGTATCGAGGGAGAGAATGAAGGCATAAAGCTTGGAAAATTGAGCCTAACCTTTTGTATTTTCTTTCTTCCAAAAAACAACAAAAATTAAGGCAAAAAAACAACAACAAAAAAACCCAGCTAAACAGAAGGAAACAGCTTTTGGGATTAATAGCCACCTCAACTGTAGCAATGAAATTGCTCAAACAAACCAATAAAAATAACATATGAACAAATAAAAATGGCTCCTCTCTCAACTGTGGCAACGATATTGCACAAACAAACAAGCCAACAAAAATAACATATGAACAAATAAAAATGTCTCCTCTCATCTGTGTCTATCTAAAAGTGTATGTGTGCAGGTGTGGTCACTGATAAAGTGGGGTCCAAATGTCTGAGACCTGACTGAAATTCTGGGATTCAAAATGTATTTTAAACCTGGAGATAAACAGAAAAAAAATTAAAATCCAAAATATTTTTTGTGATAAACCATGAATAAGAAATATATAAGACTGCACTATTTTCTGTCACTTATCAAATAAGCATTTGTGACCATTTCTCAATTGGCCATGATAAATTTATTCATTCTGTATTTTGGAATGATTTCTGAAGGATCATATGACACTGAAGACTGGAGTAATGGCCTTGAAATTATGTTTGCCATCACAGGAATAAATTACATTTAAAAAAAATATTAAAATAGAAGATATTTTAAATTGTAATATTATTTCACAACATTACTCTTTTACTGTAGTTTTGATCAAATAAATTCAGCCTTGGTGAGTATAAGAGACTTTTCAAAAACACCCAAAAACTCTTGAATGGTAGTGTATATAAAAGTACTATTAATACACGAAAGTAATATTAAGTTTTAATGAGAGAAAATTACTGAGTGTAGTCCATTTGTTATACTGACAACATCATTTGCAATAGGGCTTTTCACACTGCGCTTAACCCCGGGTTATCGTCATTCTAAACACCGCTTTTAAACCCGGGTAAAGGAGCGTTTCACACTTTTAATTTAAAAGCGGGGTTAGCACCACAGAGGTTATGAAACCCTGGTATAGAGCAGGGTTAGCACAGCTTTTGCTGTGTTAACTCCATTTCGGTGACAAACTTGTACAGTGTAAAACGATGCGATGTTAGAATGTTACAACTAGATGCTAGCAACCGACAACCAATCACGTGCCGCATATTCTCACGCTTTTGGCAATCACGAAAACACTGTGCAATGTATATAAACATTATTTCTGCGTTTGATAGGATAAAAATGTCAAACGGCGATGGAAAACGCGACAATTGGAGTGAAGAAGAGACCCTTTAATTCTTACCTTTATAAAAATTCACTCTTGATATTACAGTCAGCAATGTGTAATATGAGGTCATGCAATGCTAGAGCCTTTATGTAAACAGGTCACATGCTGCATTTGTCCAGTCAGTGATACTGACACCTTAAATATGCAAATAAGGACTTTAACAGTGTGAAACGTGAATAAAGATAACCCAGGATTCCCTTTACCCGGGGTTTAGAATGACCCAGGGTGGACTATTTCAAGTGTGAAAAGCCCTAATGAAAAACTGAATTGAAATTTTTTAAAATAAAAACATTTTGACTTACTCTCAGACATTTGGATTCCACCATATACGAAGAGAAAGACTAAAGAACATAATCAATGTTAGAATGAAAACAGAGGGGGACTTCTGGCCCTTAAGATCATCAGATAGGAATACACACTGGCCATAGTGTGTGGGTGAGCGTTAAGACGTTCTCTGTCTTTTTTGAGAGCTTACATAAGGTACAGATAAAAATCATTCTTCGACCGCACCAAACGACCTTTCTGCCCACCTCTGCATCTCCATGTCGGCTCAAAGCCTCTCGGTTTCTAAAGATACGGCTGCCTGAACAAGAGGAGGGAGAGCGACCGCTTTGAAGTGAAGAGCCAGCATGGCCGCCTCCCCACAGCTTCCTTTTGATGAAGCTCTATGAAAACAGATCTTCATCTCCAGCTTTCACTTATGACATCTTTCTCTGGATGGTACGTGTGAGTGTGAGTGTGTATGTGCGTGAAGAGTCGAGGTAGGAGGATAGAGGAGGGCAGGTGGAGCGAGATCTGTGCTGGATTAGTAACAGCAAGTCCGTATGGCAGGTTACGCTGTGTTCTCTGTTAGGTGTCGTGCTCAGGCAAAGACCAACAGCAACAGAGACACAACAGACGACATGCAGAGAAGGCAACCATGAATGCAGTCTGTCCCATGCAGTTAAAGAGAGGGACTGTGTGTTTGTGTGTGAGACAGACTATTTTCAGGCAAGGACAGAAATTAGATTTGCAAAGTTTGTTTTTGATGGCTGAAATGCTGAGCATGTTTGCAGATGCAAGCCAGTGACATGTGTGTTCACAACTGGTATTACAGAGAAACGCAATGTATTTGAACATTTGCGGGCTTCTGAGACACATTGTGCATGTGTACCTGATGTGGACTGCCGGTTTTTGCGAGGAGAGCGTGTTAGTCGCTGGAAAGGGTCTGCGGATCCGTACAGCTCCAGGGTGTTCATACACAGCAGAATGGTTTTCTGCAGGTAGTCCACAACTGCCAAACCATTGCAGTTACCTACAGCCAACCTGTACAAACACACACACTCACTAATCATACACAACTATGGTTCTTAGTAAAAGTGTCAGTTATACAAAAGTCCATTATAAAGTCAAGTTCAGTCATGACTCATGACTAACAATACTTTTGCTATTGCAGTCATGATTAAATATAATACAATTACTGAATGTAACATTATGTCCACTTTAATGGACATCCTCTGAGTCGGCCGCGATACTCGCCGTGAAATGGGCTGAGGCCGCAATATTGCATTGATAAAAAGTGCTAAAATTTTAGATTTCGTTAGAGCAGTTTGTTTAGTACGAGGCTGAATCCAGCTACTTATTTGTTTGTCATTTTTTGAAGTGAGCCTATGATTCTATTCATAAGATACTCTCTCTCTCTCTCTCTATGTATATACAGTGGAGAGAACAAGTATTTGATACACTGCCGGTTTTGCAGGTTTTCCCACTTACAAAGCATGTAGAAGTCTGTAATTTTTATCATAGGTACTCTTCAACTGTGAGAGATGGAATCTAAAACAAAAATCCAGAAAATCACATTGTATGATTTTTAAGTAATTCATTTGCATTTTATTGCATGACATAAGTATTTGATCACCTACCAACCAATAAGAATTCCGGCTCTCACAGACCTGTTAGTTTCTCTTTAAGAAGCCCTCCTGTTCTCCACTCATTACCTGTATTAACTGCACCTGTTTGAACACGTTATCTGTATAAAAGACACCTGTCCACACACTCAATCAAACAGACTCCAACCTCTCCACAATGGCCAAGACCAGAGAGCTGTGTAAGGACATCAGATAAAATTGTAGACCTGCACAAGGCTGGGATGGGCTACAGGACAAAAAGGAAAGCAGGTTGGTGAGAAGGCAACAACAGTTGGCGCAATCATTAGAAAATGGAAGAAGTTCAAGATGACGGGTCAATCTCCCTCGGTCTGGGGCTCCATGCAAGATCTCACCTCGTGGGGCATCAATGATCATGAGGAAGGTGAGGGATCATCCCATAACTACACGGCAGGACCTGGTCAATGACCTGAAGAGAGCTGGGACCACAGTCTCAAAGAAAACCATTAGTAACACACTAAGCCGTCAAGGATTAAAATCCTGCAGCACACGCAAGGTCCTCCTGCTCAAGCCAGCGCATGTCCAGGCCCATCTGAAGTTTGCCAATGACCATCTGGATGATCCAGAGGAAGAATGGGAGAAGGTCATGTGGTCTGATGAGACAAAAATAGAGCTTTTTGGTCTAAACTCCACTCGCCATGTTTGGAGTAAGGAACAGGATGAGTATAACCCCAAGAACACCATCCCAACCGTGAAGCATGGAGGTGGAAACATCATTCTTTGGGGATGCTTTTCTGCAAAGGGGACAGGACGACTGCACCGTTATTGAGGGGAGGATGGATGGGGCCATGTATCGCGAGATCTTGGCCAACAACCTCCTTCCCTCAGTAAGAGCATTGAAGATGGGTCGTGGCTGGGTCTTCCAGCATGACAACGACCCGAAACACACAGCCAGGACAACTAAGGAGTGGCTCTGTAAGAAGCATCTCAAGGTCCTGGAGTGGCCTAGCCCGTCTCCAGACTTGAACCCAATAGAAAATCTTTGGAGGGAGCTGAAAGTCCGTATTGCCCAGCGACAGCCCCAAACCTGAAGGATCTGGAGAAGGTCTGTATGGAGGAGTGGGCCAAAATACCTGCTGCAGTGTGTGCAAACCTGGTCAAGAACAACAGGAAACGTATGATCTCTGTAATTGCAAACAAAGGTTTCTGTACCAAATATTAAGGTCTGCTTTTCTGATGTATCAAATACTCCGTCACTCACAGTTGAAGAGTGCCTATGATAAAAATGACAGACTTCTACATGCTTTGTAAGTGGGAAAACCTGCAAAATCGGCAGTGTATCAAATACTTGTCCTCCCCACTGTATATTATATGTCACAATTATGAATATGGGACTACTATGTACAACAAGCAGAATAATTGGAACAAAAAAAGAAAATAAATGGTATAAAAGGTTAGAAAGTATGACGTTTGCGGTGTCAGTCAAGTCCGAAGCAAGGTGCACCCAAAGTAATGCGTTACTCATACCAGCAGCCATATCACCCTGTAGTCCAAGACTGGTTGCCCACTGAAGCTAAGCAGGGCTGAGCCTGGTTAGTACCTGGATGGGAGACTCCTGGGAAAACCAGGTTGCTGGAAGAGGTGTTAGTGAGGCCAGCAGGGGGCGCTTACCCTGTGGTCTGTGTGGGTCCATACATCCCAGTATAGTGACGGGGACACTATACTGTCAAAGAGCACCGTCCTTCGGATGAGACGTAAAACCGAGGTCCTGACTCTCTGTGGTCACAAAAAATCCCAGGATGTCTTTCGAAAGAGTATGGGTGTAACCCCGGCATCCTGGCCAAATTTGCCCAGTGGCCTCTGTCCATCATGGCCTCCTAATCATCCCTATATACTCATTAGCTTCATCACTCTGTCTCCTTTCCACCAATAAGCTGGTGTGTGGTGGGCGTTGTGGCGCAATATGGCTGCTGTCGCATCATCCAGGTGGATGCTGCACATTGGTGGTGGTTGAGGAGATTTCCCCTTCTATGCAAAAGTGCTATATAAATGTAATGAATTATTATTATTATGGCAACTACGTCTCAGACAGTCTGGCGACAGATAAAAATAAACAGTAAATAACTTTCGAGTGATTTGTTACACAAGTGCACATCAAATATGATAAACACGGAAGCTCGAACGTGTGTGGCTTGGGACATCCCTAGAATATACAAAAATTCTGTTCAAAATTATATTATATATCAAAGTTAATTCAGTATAAATTCTGAATATATAAAAAATCTAAATATACTAACTAAAAAAAAATATATATATATATATATATATATATATATATATATATATATATACTGTATATATATTAGGGCTGTCAGTTAAACAAATCACTCGAAAGTTATTTACTGTTTATTTTTATCTGTCGCCAGACTGTCTGAGACGTAGTTGCCATAATAATAATAATTGAAAAAATTTTTTATATATATATATATATACTGTATATATATTAGGGCTGTCAGTTAAACGCGTTATTAACGGCGTTAACGCAAACCCATTTTAACGGCGTCAATTTTTTTATCGCGCGATTAACGGTCTTTTTGGCCTAGCAAACTTTGTAGTTTTATTTACATGCTTTTGCAACAGGATGCGGCATGCGCGGCGCTGCGCTATGAAACCCACTCATTTCAATGGCTTGCGCCGCGTGAGGACGTTTTATTGCTTCGTCGACCAAAGCGCTAGCAGATCTAGCTAGACCGGAAACAAAACAACAGGCACGCCGCACACACTTGTTTGGGCTTGCGAGCCGGCCAAATAGTTGGTTAACTATACGTTTTGAGTGGATGACGAGCGCGAGACGCCGAAATGGATGCCAATAAGATTCTGAATGGAAAGTTTACTTTTTAAAAGTTGCCAAATGGTTCCATTGACAAGACCAAAGTGATCTGTGTGTTTTGTCATTGTGAACTGAGCTATCATCATCGCAGCACGTCCAGTCTGAAATACCACTTGATGGCCAAGCACACACACACAGCTGATGCGAATTCTCCGCCCCCTCGTCAATATCAGGACCTCGTCAGTATTTCTTTCACCCTTTTATTGATGGACAGTGTTACATTGTGTGAGAGATTATTTGCTCCAAGTGAGAATGTTAGTGTGAATTTGAACACAGTATATATGCCAATGTTGTTTTCAATAAAAAACATTTGCACAAAGCAAGCCGATCCACTTTTCCATGCTGATAAGAGCATTAAAATGAGAAAAAAGTAATGGGACAAAAAGAAATCGAGAGACATTTAGAATAGATAAAAATGTGTGATTAATTGCGAGTTAACTATGACATTAATGTGATTAATCGTGATTAAATATTTTAATCGTTTGACAGCACTAATATATATATATATATATATATATATATACATACATGCACAACTGTTCAGTTGTGTGTTTGGGGTCAGTACGTTTTTTTTCTCTCAAAAGAAATCAAAATTAATAAAAAAAAATTAGCAAGAAATAACTAAATTAATCGGAAGTGACAGTAAAGACATTTATATTGTTATAAATAATTATATTTCAAATAAATGCTGATGTTTTGAATTTTCTTTTCATCAAAGAATCTTGAAAAAATGTCAAATGCTATAAAACTTTAAAATATATTAAAATAGAAAGTTATTTAACCGTTAACATTTATTTAGTTATATAAATTGTAATGATTTTTCACAGTGATTCTTTCCATAGATTTTCACTGTATTTCACTAAAATATTAAAACCCTACATTTTTATTAAAAATAAATAAATAAAACTCTTTTATTTAGTCTAGAATGCTAAACATCAAACATGTTCTACAAGGGGTATATGCAACTTTATAAGATCAGTTGTAAGAGACTGATTATAAAATGTTCCATCAATCACTAGTAAAACACACATCCCTGGGCCCAGTCATGAACAAACAAATCTCAGACACAAAAAAAACTTTTGAGTGTGCAGTGACATTTAGGCTATGTTTACACTAGTGTGTTTTCGTTTTAAAGCGCATACCTTTTGCTAAGGTTACGCCTTGCATCCATACTACTCCGGAGTTTTCAACTCTCGAAAACCGAGACTGTTGGAAACGCTGCAGAGACCATTTTAGTTTGAGAACTCCAGGGTTGCATTTCCGTGTAGACGGACCAAAACGGAGACTTTTGAAAACGAAGGCGTGGATTCCCACATTGGGTCTTCTGATCATTGCATATCTTTCTCTGATTCGTCAAGCCCCTATCATATGACCATTACACTAACAGAAGACAACATAACATACCCATAGACATAATAAATACATAGACGCCCTATTGGCCGCTGGAGCGTACGTCAACGGCACCGCCATATTGCGGAGGGCAACTTTCTCATACTTCTCATAACGAGAATTGAGGAAAATGCCTGTTTCGTGTGCTGCTTGGGGCTGTACAAATCGCCACACAATTGAAAAAAGGTCTCGAGGAATTATCTTTCACAAGCAAGACTGAACATTTGTTTCTGGTTGTATTTGGTCATGATATAATTAGTAATAGTAAAGTCCAGAGGAGAAAAGCCGCAAAATTTAAAAATACTACTGTTATTGTGTCACGAAATGTAGTTTTTCAGTCGACAATGTAGTTGTTTAAACCTCAAATCTGTGGTTTATTTATAAAGATTTATAAAAATTTGATCTGACGTTTTTGAGTTGTGATATCCAGGCGTTCACCGGGCGCTCAGCGCTCATGTACCCCGCCTGGAACAGCCTTACCTCGGCTAGTGCTTCTGACGTTTGCCGCTGGCTCTGATGTCTCTAGTCTAGTGGTTAAACATGAGATATAATTCGTCTTGTGTATATTTAACGGGCGATCTTTGGTCTCACAAAAAGAGACAGAGTTGTGACATTTTATTTTATATTGCCTATGTAGGAATATTTTAAAATATATAAATTATTTTATATATACATTCTCTTCACTGTATGTAGGCCTATATAAAATAAAATGACAAATCTTTTTGTTAAATGTCAGTTTAATGATCAATATTATCATGTTTAATATTTTTTCATATTGTCTATATTATTCTGCAATTGATATTACATTGTATTTGCTGTTCTTATTATTATTGTAATATTATACCACTTGCAATTATCAATCTATTACAGCTATGCTGTTAAATGATTGTACTATTCATAGTCACCATTTAACTTATTATTTTTTATTGTCTATATACTGTAATTGATATTTCTTATTCCATTGCTATTATTATAGTATTATACATAAACATATGCTATTATCAATATTTGTATTATATTATGTACTTATGATATTATATAATTATACTATTCATTACTATTTTATTTGCCGTATACTGTTTGTTTATTTTATTGACTAAACTGTTTACTATTACTTCTCACTTTATCTTATATTTACTATTTGCATTGCACTGTGGTTGTACCATATCATATGTATTACCATAAAGGATCCATCAGTTATCTTTGTTATTGCTAAAATCGGGTCAATCACAGAAAATGCTTTTTCCACAATAAGAAAACTTTATTTAAATTAATGTAACAATGTAATTATATCTTCAGAATTCTTATCCAAGAATAAAAAGCCAGATAGCCTACATGACAAGCCTGAGCTTTGACAATTCCTTATTAAGTCTAACTATCGAGATTTTAAATAACTAGAGATGGAACTTTTTGTACACCACGTACAAACCACTGAAATCAGTTGACAAATGTATTTTTTTTTTAATCCAGAAAAACCGCAGCTCACCGTTTACTTGCATTTGATTACAGTGCAGTCTTGCCCTCTGCAAAATGGCGGACGCGTTGACGTATCGCGGCAACGTTCCAAAGCGGCCAATAGGGCGTCTATGTATTTATTATGTCTATGAACATACCAGCCTCAACGACTGTGTAAACAATAACATGGAGACGGAACTGCAAGCTTTGCTGACTTTGTTGTCCTTTTTAGCAGCCATTGTGCAGTTAAACTCTGCATTTTATACTGCAGCTGCCTACATGTGCAAGAGGTAAGCTATCATTAGAGCAATCGACAACAAATCTCCAAATTTGTACACGCATGCCCAGTGTGCATGAACGGTCATGTGACATGCGTTTCGGTCGTGTAGTGTGGACAGAAATCTTTTCTGAAACTCAGTGGAAACACCAGTATGGACGAGGATCATTTTAAAATTTTAAAATGCCGTGTTAAAACAAAAAAAACACTAGTGTGGACATAACTTTAATCTGCTGGACTGAATTCAAAGTCTTTCTGTCCATTGTAGCCAAACATCACCATGGAAACCTTTGCTCATAATTAAGGTTGCACATGGTTGTAACTGAATCAAAACAGGATGACAAAAAGTTAAATATTCGAAAGGAGGCCAAATTACCAAGAGTTTTACCACTTTAATCAAAAACATCAAACACCCCATGAGCTGGGATATTAACATCTGGACACATGAGGCTGGAGTGTGCAGTGATGACAAAATCAATTACATTAAACATGGGAGGACTGATATGAGTCAGAGAAGACTCACATACCACATAATAATGTTTGATTACCATACTCGGTACATCAGTCCAAACAGGTTAAAAAAAAAATCTTGGTATTACCACAGTATATTTGTCACATTGTTAATGTGTTCTGTTCTGTGTTGTGATCTTGTTTCCCCCTGTCTTTGTGGTTTTTGGTTTAGTCCTGTTTGTTTTTCCCTGTCTGTGGTATTAGTAATTCCCGACAACTGTGTCTAGTTAATTTTCCCATTAACCCCAGTTCATTTAAGCCCTGTGTTTTCCCTCAGTGTTTGTGGGTCGTCGTCCATGTATGGTTGTGTTTTGCTGAGTTCCTGGTATTTTCCTGAGTTCCTGTATTTTCCTGTAACCTGAGTTTGTGAATAAACCAGCTGCATTGAAATTCTGTTCCCTCGTCTTCAGCAACCTGTACAAAACCTGACAATATTTTAATGCTAATTCTATGATATTTATTTGCAAGGAACAGTAGAAGACAGAATATTAAATTAGAGGAAAAAGTAAAGATTCTATTGGCTGAATAAAATGGATAACATAAAAGATGAGGAGTCACTTACAGTCCATAGGCAGAGTTTAAATCCAGGCTGGTGATTTGTTGTGGCGGCTCGCCATCAATCCATAATAACTGAACCACCAGCTCCGCCTGGTATCCAGGAGGCATTCGGATCATACGATCTTTAACCCTAAGAGGTAAGTATTCAAATTTAGCTTAATGTGGAATCTAATTTGATTGTTAAACTTTCATTAAACCTAATATGTTCCATATTGTATTGTCTAGTAAGTAAGTAAGCAAACAATGTCCCGTCAAGTCCTACATACAGTATAAAAGATTGTGATTTTTGTGTAGTCTAACTTGAGGCAAGGGATGCTGTCCCGCGCGCTGTCCGGCGTGTTGCTGCGGGGACTGGGGGGTTGTGGTTGGGGTGAGAGACCGCTGGGGTCTGAATAACATGGAGTGTTCTCTGTGTCCGACGGAGAGATGACGTCCTCCATCTCACACTGCAGCCGCACCTCTAAGGACTTGAGTATTCACACACAATATAAAGTTAATTCATCAAATCCAAGATATTTTGAAGAATATTTTAACTGATTTTGTCCATTCAATAAAAGTAATTTGGGTCCAAAGTTGTTATGGACCCAATTGGCTTTAATTGTTTGGACAAAATCAGTTGAGATATTCTTTAAAATATATTATTCTGTATACAGAAAGACCATACAGAAAGGTTTGAAACAGCATGAGGGTGAGTAAATGTTGACAGAATAAATTATTATAAACTATCCCTTTAAAATAAGTTTTCTCAACTCACCGTGATGGTGGTGTTGGCGTCATGTTTGCTGAAGCGGTACAGGATGACGTGGGCACTGATGCCGACTACACAAAAGATACGGCTCTGTGGGCACCAGCTGATCATCTGAACGGCGTAGGGGTCTTCCTCAACAAGCTCGCCGCTGCGTCCCACGTCTCCACTCTTAGGATTCTCAAATACCTTTGATGTCTTGAGCTTATACAACATCTGCAGTGTGACTGACAGAGATGGAGGTTATCACCTCATCACATCGTATTACATAATGAATGTGATGCACATGGTGTTAAAACGGAAACAATGCTTTAAATGAAAATATTCTGTGTTTAGTCCAAGTTAAGCTTAATCGACAGCACCTAATGGTGGCATGATTACCACAAAGAATAGTGTCTCTACTTTTAGAGGGGAAAAAAAAAAGTTTAAATCAAGACATTTAAGGCACATTCACACCATGTATGATAACTGTAATTTTAACTATAATTATAAAGTTTTAATAATTGCTATAATTTTTGGAGAATAGAGAAGTCCACACCACACTTAAACAATAACAACACAGAGGAACAATATCTTTGGAATCACATTCAGAATAATTGTTTTTCAGCTAATGGCAGCAAATCAGTAACCTGGCCCTTGCCAGATGAATTTCGCTCCGCCTAGCTTCACTCACATCCATCTGGAACCGATCCATTGAAATGGCGTTTCAGAAGGCTGGGCCTTATCAAAAATCCTTGCATATGATTGGATAAGCCACTTGTCTGTCATCTTTATCGACGTGCTATTTCAACCACTCACACCGAAGCCAACCCGTGACGCTGAAGAATCCGGTCGGGAGAAGGCACTGATCTATATAACATCGTTTCCACCAACAAAAGCCTTAAGAGCCGTTCTCTGATGTTCTTTTAATGAAACAATATTAGGTAGATTGGACAACACGGATGAAATCAATGTTAACAGCATCAATGTTAACGCTTGTTTCCTCGATGCGAGCCGCCATTGTTGTCTGAATCAAAACAGTCTCACGGTCGCTTCTCCACTACGTCACATCTATGAAACTCCCGCCCTGCGTCCTGATTGGCTAAACCATAAAGTTGGTTGGAGAAATCACTCTCAATGGAAGAGGTTCCAGATGGATGTGAGTGAAGCTAGGCGGAGCGAAATTCATCTGGCTAGGGCCAGGTTAGCAAATCAGAGCTTGTGCATTTAAAGCAGAAGACAACATATCCGCAGCACGCACTTATAATAAACAGAACGTTATTGTTCATTGGTGTGGATACTAATATAGTTATTTTTATACTTATCTTTATAGTTATCATTCTTGGTGTGAACAGGCCTTAACAAAGGAAGTGAATGGGGTCAATCTGTTAACAATAAAATAGACACATTTTTCAACAGTATAGCCACAAGACATAAACAGTATCTGTATTAAAAAATTAAACATTAAACTTGCCTCTGTAAAATTATATTCAGCTTTGTTGCTCTGTAACAGAACACCACCCTCTAACCTTAGATTGACTGTAAAATTATAATTTAAACAGCTTTATGGCTTAAATAGCAGACTAAAGTTAACACAATCATTAAAGTTATTTTATAAAATTATAAACTTATAATTTGTTTAATAGTAAACAAGGGATGATCAAGGGATGATTGTGGTAATCAACATTATGCCAAAAATGATGTCAAATGAGCTTAACTTGTATTGAACCTGGAATATTCTTTTAAAGGGATACTCCACCCAAAAATGAAAATTTGTTGCAAACCTGTATGAGTTTCTTTCTTCTGCTGAACACAAAGGAAGATATTTTGAAGAACGATTGGAACCAAACGGTTGTTTGGCACCACTGACTTCCGTAGTAGGAAAAAAAAAATACTATGGAAGTCAATGGTGCCAAAGTTCCAATCGTTCTTCAAAATATCTTCCTTTGTGTTCAGCAGAAGAAAGAAACTCATACAGGTTTGCAACAACTTGAGGGTGAGTAAATGATGACAGAATTTTCATTTTTGGGTGGAGTATCCCTTTAAGCAATGGCCATGGTTGTGAAACCATCACATATAGATCTGGTATTTGGATGTCCATTGTGGTCATATTGGGTTTGAATTGTAAAGAATGAAATGAAAAATGAGGAATCATATGGCAGAGGTAAGAAAGCGTGAGATGGAACAGCATGAGGCTGAAGGGGGGAACAAGCTCTTCAAAGCGAAGACACTTACTCGCTGTGGCATCCCAAAACTTTATCGATCCGTCTGCATGTCTGTGGGGGACAGCAAAGAGGAAGGACAAAGAGTGATCGTATGAGCGAATGAGTGTATGTGTTAAACCACTTAAGAGGAAGCAGGCAATGACAGCTATGGAAACAGGAGGAAAAAAGAGGCAGAGAGAACAACAGGCAGGGTCAATAGCACTATTGAATTTAAGCGGAGAAGTGCGATACATTTACCAATGAGAGCCAAGCAGGAGGGCACATTTAGACATCACTGACTTCAAGTGAAAACAAACTCAATCAATGCATGCTTCAGAACAAAAACAAAATCAATCCAGAGTTTTCAAGCAAATAAAAATTCTATAAATGACCTCCATGTGTGGGTGGAAAGTTTCACTTTTTGAGACAGGGGTGTCAAACTATTTTGAAGAGTCACCTTGTGTGGGCCGATTTGTTCATTTGTTATACCTGCACATCAAACTTTCAGAAACTACTAAAGATAAAGATTATGCTTTCAAAAAAATTAAAAATTCAGTTGCAAGAAAAGGGAGCACATAGATTTTACTACTACTTTACTACTTTTACATAAACATATGAAATCATAACATCAGTTGACGTGGTGGAAATGATACTGATATTCATGACAAAAAAATCCATTTGTGACAACTACTGAGAGTGTGAAAAGTGAGTTTTCAGAGAGTTTATTTTCTAAAAGTCCACAGAGTCAAAGGTGCCAATATTTGAAGAAACACCCATTAATGCATTATATCTAAAATCATTTAGTGGAGACTTGGAAGCAAGTGTGACATTCAGTTTTCATTCCCAATGTTTCCAATACTGCTGTGAGCGACAATGTGACATACACACACACAAAACAAAGTGAGAACATGAAGCGTGTTGCTCTGGGACAGTTGTCACCCACATATGAGATTAAAAAAACACACAAATTTGATGTTCATGTTAAAGGTACAATATGTAACGTTTGGCCCTCTAGCGGTTAAAAAACAAAACTGCATGCGTTTATCACAAGAACATTGATTTGGTTGTGCTCCGGCCCTGCGTGACTCTGCTTTATGAGAAGCAGGATAACCATATTCATCCGCATTCACTACTATGCTTAATAGATATAACCAATTTAGATGGAAAGGATCTCAAGCTGACTAGCTGAAGACGTTACTGTAGCTATACCCATTAATAGACATGGCACTGCATATGGCAATTTATGTTTTCAATAAAATACCTTAACCCTCTGGGGACCAGAAACGCGCCCGCGCGTTTTGCCGTTTTTTTTTCACATAGCAGAAAAATAGACTTAAAATACTCTGTTGATTTTGATCGTACATATAAGTGTTATACATCAATCGATCCTGTTAATTGTCTATTATTTTTCTGTATACTCACAATAAAAACAAAGTTTTGTGCTTTTTGTCAAATAAAGAAAAATAAACATGATGCGAGTTTTGCCTTCTCTCTGTCAGTGCAGTCCATTCTGAAACACGTCCGAAAAATTAACTCTAACTCTGCAAATACTTGTCATACAGGCACGAGAGGTTTTTCTTTATGAAGCTTGAATTCTCTTCTTTTTAATGATGTAATTTATATAAAAAACAAATATTCTCAGTTTATGTAATCTGTATGAAAAGAGAGTGCTGTCAGATTTTTTTCCCCCAGCTCATTACACTTCATTACGCGTTAATCTGACACGCCCACGGAGGACGCGCGCTATTCAAACGCAAATGTCGAGGCAAGCCATGACAATGCCCACATCAGCCGTTCCACCGCGGCGGTAAAATGTGGGGTGTATTTGCTGCCTTTTACCGCCAAGAGGCGCTACAATCATAGACTCTGAAAAGTGTTTGTTTATTCTCTCTAATGCGTAATCTGCTGCCGCACCGCACTGATTCAGAGCGTTTGAAAGCTGGTAGCAGATGAATTCAACAAGTGAAACGTAGTTAAAATAATTCATAATCACAATACTGAAATTAGGCTACTGAAATGAAATTGAATAAATAATGAAAAAGTAAAACATTGCAATAAAAACAGTCACAGACGTATAGACGATAGCTCAGTGGTTAACGCAACAACACGAGCTTCGAGGAGCTTTAATCGACTCGGATCGAATCTCAATGTAGCATACATGTTGTTAACCGATGTTGCCCTACAGCGTTTATGTTTAACCTTCTTGATGCTTAAATAGCTAACTGTTTATAACTGTTTACTTATTTAAAGTCAAGAGTTTTGTTTAATTATTATTACAACATAAATTTGCTACATTCCTGGAACCGCAGCCGCTGCACAAAGGACAAAAACTGATGAAGGAAGATTGTCAGCCGATTGCATCAGAAAATGAAAATGAAGAAGCACGTCTTTAGTCTGCTAAATTATTGTGTAATGTAAAAGAACACTAAAATTACTTAAGTTTGAAACCAAGTTCGAACATTTCAAGGTTTAAATAAAGTGTCGGGACAGTTTTTTTTATTTAAAACAGGGTTGCATCGGGTTTAGAGTTTATTTCTTTTGCGATGCAAAATAAGAAACACTAGGCTAATCTTATTCTTGCGACATTTTAAATTTGTATTGCCAAAGAAATGACAGCTATATTAAACAATTAAAACAGTAGGCCTACAAAACGAAAATTGTCCAAAGCAACATAATTAAATTAAAACATGCGTTTTTCTTTGCCTCTCTCGCGCTGAATCTCTTTTTAACAAGTTTATTTAGTCTCCCTCGCTCTCCATATGAAAGAGGAACATTAACACCTATGCCTATTGTCCTGCGCGCTCGATACAGCACTGAACTGTCCCTCCAACCCCCCACAGGCTATCGGAGTCTGAGGCTGATTTAACACAAAGAGAAGTCACAATTCACACTTAAATCGCTATTCTAGACAGTGTTGATAATGAAGGAATTAAATGATTTAAGTTACATGTAGCCTAGTGATATTTCTGTCATAAAAGCTTATTACTAAATATTTAATTATTTCAGTAATTGATGAAATAAAACTGGTTTGGGCCAGCTTTTTCCAAGCAAAACTAAATATAATCTGAAAAAACGCATGTTAATTTGTTTTCATGAACAAAATGTTCAACTCAATATTAAAGTCTACAGGGATCTTTGGATCCTTTCAACCAGGCATGCAATTTGTGAATTAAGTTTTTTTATTTTTATTTTTTATTCAAATAAATATCGAACCACGGTGCTTCGTGGTAATGCTGCTAAATTAAATAACATGTATTGAATAATTATGAACTTAAATGAAACAATATCGCAACATTTCGACAAATGCATTATTTGATCTGTTTTTACATTTTAATTCAGGGCGATTTAGCCTGCTACATTTAATTAGAGCGAGATTTTCACCCTTGTCTTGTCATTTTCTCATTGGGAAGCGCTTACAGGCTACATGTTTGAGTACATCCTCTGTACCTCTCGTTTTCATATGGATTACATAATCAGATAACATTTATTAGCCAGAATATTTAGACATTTAAAGGCTTTAGACAGAGCCGATTTCTTATAGTGACTGAGCTGAAGTGGCTTTCGGTTCATTTTTGTGACGCGCAGTTCCCGGAGACAGAGACGACAGATAAACTGTTTTTGTCGTTAGCAAAAGTTCGAATAAAACCCGACTTTAGAAAAATGCATAGGGCCACTCAGCGTGGTCTGCCAAAACACTTAATTATAAACTTCAATATTTCATTCAAAATAATCTCAAAACGCTTTGTGAAATTTTGAAAAGCCGTGCATGCATTAAGGCCACTTGAACTAATGAACAACTGAAACGCTGGTTTTGATTTTATTGTTTGTCGTTGTTTAAACGTGCTTGTTGCATATCTCTATTTTATATTTGATATGGTCTATTGGTGAAGTAGCCTATAGCATTGATTACTGTGGAGGGAGGGGTGTGGGGATTCAAATAATTCAGCAGAAGCAGGGATGTTTAGACCAGAAGGAAATCCCCGTCCCTCCTGGCAAATCACACTTTACTTAAAACCATGTTTTTAAAAACTCTAGGTTGTAGGGAATCAAAATAATAATAATAATAGGCCTAATAAAAAAAATAAAAAAATATATATATAGGCTATATATGTAAAATTACTTTTTTTACAGAACTGCTTTTGAAATTATGATTGGTAGCCTCGTACGATTGGTACAGATGCAACGTCGTTCTGTTCGATAGTGTAAAATGGAAATGCATGGTAATTTTATTTTATAAATATAACCAAAAAACTGTATGGTGTAACAGAGTTTTAGAGCTAGACAAATCTCTCTGCATTAATAAATATAAAATTTGCAGTAGACCATGTTTGTTCGGGATTTGAACCCATGTCATCTTGATGATCGAACCGTCAGTTCTACCGCTCTGCTATGAATTTTCTCACTGAGGAAATGCCCAAACGTTTGTTTCTCACATAAGCGAGAAAACGTTTT